ACTCTATGGGGGGGCTGCGAGGGCCCGCGCCGATCGGCAAAGCAATGAATAAGAATACGATCACCAACCACCTACCAATATCTTCTTTGCTCCGTCAAATGTCCCTCGTGAAATTTCAACCTGTTCGACGCTCTGCTCGGACTAGGCTGGACCGTAAGAAACAGCCGATGTACTGCGACTGCCCCCTTGCCATAACCTCTGGCGCTCGGGATTCGAATCATACCAGCCCTCTGGGCGTAGCTGGTTTCAGGAGCTTGAGATTGAAAACCCAGTCCCCCTATACTCCTCCTTCGTCGAACGTCGTGGGTGGAAGTAATCAGGAGCGACATGGTCGTCACTCCGGCGTTGCTGTCGCCAGACAGATTGGGATCTCACTTCTCGGTCTAGTCCCAATGGCGCCGACCAACATGTGTCTGGTGTGTGAATGTTGAGACGCCATGCAAAATTACAGTCCCAATCCCCTGGGTCTGGACGGGCGGGCGTCGAGGTATTGGAGTGGCCAAGATGGCCCAAGATAACTCCAAAACGGCCGCCGACAGCCCAAGATGGCCTCTCAGACGGCTCTCTTTAGCCCAAGATGGCTGAAGATGATTTCGCGCAACTTCCAAGAGGCCACGAGACCATCCCAAGACGGCTCCAAATAGCCAAACAGCTTGCCCAGAGACCCCCGAGAAACCAAAATCCCTTACAGCGTAACAAAGGTGTCAGTGAGTGCTGCTGATCACTTCCGATGGGCCCCTGAGGCCACAACATCCAAAGAGAGCTCCAGGAGGTGGCCACACGAGCTCCAAGACGGCCCCACGAGCGCCCAAGACGGCCCCAAGAGGGATCCAAGAAGGTGACGTTGGGGGCTCGAGGGGACATCGCTCGTCCACGCCGACCGCCCCTTCGGGCCTCTATAGCCTCTAGACGATTGCAAAAGGGCCTCACGGGAGCTCCTAGATGGCTCCATTAGGCTCCCAAAGGCGTCTAACTTCACGATTGCTGGACTCTTGGTCCAATTATGATCACAAACGATTATGTATGTGTATGTGTATGTGTATGCGTATATTATACAATCACACGCACATGTCCGAGGGAGTAGAGCTCAGAAGCGACGACTTGAAGCCGTTCTGTTCGTGATTGTGTTGGCCATTTCGTTCGGGACGTCCCCGAAAGTCCGAAAACCCGACGCACCCATCACGCAGATCGCGACATCACGGTCCAAAAACACCATGGACTCTTCAACAAATGTCATACAACCTTCAAAGTACAAACGGTATTCCTTATGGCTGGACGTCGCTCGTACAAAAACATCCGTTTCGCGTGCGACATCCAAAAAAATGAAGCCCCACGTATTCAAAGTTGCCATCACAAGCTTAAAAACGACAGTTTGGCGTGACACTCTATGTCAATTTGGCTTCGCAATTTTCCCAACTGCAATCGCAAGGTGTGCAACACCATCCTGCGCAACCGACACCGCACGGTGTGGCAACCCCAACTACACTCGACTGCCATCCCGCTGTTGCACCTCATTCCCAACAACCCCCTGCTGATCCTCATGATCCTTCTTCCCTCCGCCGTCCTTTGTTTTCCATCTACTTGATCCTCCTCCTCCTCGTTTTCCTCCTGTTCCTACTCCTCAGACCCGACGTCATAATCCTCTTCTTGTCACTGTTATGCGATGCTTACGTGCTGCAATTATTCGTGTATGAGCCGGGGCACACATGGGAGCAGGGAGGAGGGGGAGGACGAAGGAGTGAATGACGCGGGGCGCTCGCTTCAAAACGGGGACCCAACACAGGATGGCTGGAAAACTTACATTGCGACAAACCCAACCCATTGGCACCAGAGGATGATATAAGGCGTGCCGTCGATAGTGCGACGGAAACACTGCAAGAGACGGTGCACAGTTGATAGCTATATCGTGCGTGGCCGACTCGCAGAAAAGAGGTACATCAGGCCAGGAGGCATTGCACTGGGAAGGAAAAGCAAAATGAAGGCATCGGGGTGGAAGAACAATCACCTCGGCAGAAGCAGCGAGATGATGGAGGCTGGGCCAAAGAAAGTTACATTAGGCGGAGACGCAACCAGACAATGAAGTGCCGCTTTTTCCCATGCCGAAACGCTCAACACCTGCGCGGCCAGCGCTCCGCGTTGCTGCAGCGCCTCGGAGAAATAAAAGCTCCCGTAACTAGTGGAAAAAGAGATCAAGACCTAGCTCGCCCGCCAGCCTCCCCGCTTCCTCCCTGCACCTCTCAGGGCGAGCACCAAACGCGCGCAGGCGCGCCGCCAGTCCTCGAAAGTGATATCAGTTTCACACTTCGCAACCCCCCAGGGATGGCGAGGTCCCGGTTGGATTTGCGTGGAACCCCACTGTGCTGCCCCGCCCAGCAGCCCTCGAAAGTGGCGGCAGTGTCACGCTTCGCAGACCCACAAGGATGGCGAGGTCCCGTTTGGATCTGCGTGGGGCCCCACTGCGTTGGCGCCCCCAGCAGCCCTCGAGAGTGGCAACCGTTTTCACACTTCACGCCCCCCCCCCCAAGGATGGCGAGGTCCCGTTTGGATTTCACAGTGCTGGCTCCCCCAGCAGCCCTCGAAAGTGGCGACAATCTCACACTTCGCAGACCCCCCAAGGGACGACGAGGTCCCGTTTGGATCTGCGTGGGGCCCCCACTGTGCTGGCTCCCCCAGCAGCCCTCGAAAATCGCGACAATCTGACAATTCGCAGACGGGATGGAGAGGTCCCGTTTGATTTGCGTGGGACCCCAGTGCTGGCGCCCCCAACAGCCCTCGAAAGAGGCGACAGTTTTCACACTTCGCACCTCCCCCAGGGATGGCGAGGTCCCGTTTGGATTTGCGTGGGACCCCAGTGCGGTGGCTCCTAGCTCCCCCACGAACGAACGAACGAAGCCGCGCCCTGACGGCGCATTGTCACACAAATGGAACATGGTGATCACATGCGTGCCGGCATGCAGAGAAAAAAATCCCGGCAAAGCAACCTAACAGCGATGTGTATAGGCATATCTGGAAGCATTCCCCTTAAGATTCAGGTGAGAATCCAGTTGTAGAATTCTGCTGTTCTCGCCGTCGCAGTCGCATTCGCAATGACAGTTACAGTGGCAACGGCCTTAGGATCCAATGGAATCCTATGGATTCCTAGGGATTCCTAAGGCATCCTTAGGCATCCTTAGGAAACCATAGGAATCCTTAGGAAACCTTAGGAATCGTTTGGAATCCTGATTCCTAGGGATTCCTGGGGATTCCTAAGGATGCCTAGGGAATCCTAAGGATTCCTAAGGATTCCTGAGGATGCTTAACTATGCCTACGGAGTCCTAAGGATGCCTACGGATTCCTAAGGATTCCTAGGGATCCCTAAAGATTCCTATGGATTCCTACGGATGCCTCAGTCTGCCCCAGTTTAAGCCTCAGCCTCAGCCTGCCTCGGCTTGCCTCAGCCTCAGCCTCAGCCTGCCTCGGCCTCAGCCTCAGGAGAGCCTGGCCTCAAGGCCTCAATCGAAGGCCCTCAGTAGCGAAGTAAGGGGGCAAAACAATTTGGCTCACGAGCCCCGGCACACAGAAGAGGACGCTGGTGCGTAGGCAATGCCTGCAGCCCCTGCCGTCGTCCTCCTCAGCCTGCCGTCCAGCCTCAGCCTCAGCCTGGCCCTCAGCCTCTCATGCCTCAGGCCTCATGCCTCAGGCCTCAGCCTTCAGCCTCTAAAATCCTCGTCCTCAGCCTGCCTCGTCTTGCCTTCAGCCTCAGCCCTACAGCCTAGCCTCGGCCGTCAAGCCCTGCCTCGCCTCAGCCTGCCTCACACCCTCCCCTGCCTCCCTCTCCGCCCCCCCCCCCGCACACAACCCCCCTCCCCCCCCCCTCCTCCCCCCCCCTCCCCCCCCCTACTCCCCCCCCCACTCAGCCTCACCTTGTCTCAGCTTCGGCCTGCCTCGGCCCCATCCTCAGCCTCAGTCTCAGCCTCAGCCTGTCTCGGCCTGAGCCTGCCTCGGCCTCAGCCTCAGCCTGCCTCAGCCTCAGCCTGCCGCATCCTCAGCGTCAGCCTCTCCGCCTCAGCCTGCATCAGCCTCAGCCTCAGCCTCAGCCTGCCTCAGCCTCAGTCTCAGCCTGCCTCAGCCTCAGCCTCAGCCTGCCTCGGCCTCAGCCTGCGTCAGCCTCAGCCTCAGCCTGCCTCGGGCTCAGCCTGCGTCAGCCTCAGCCTCAGCCTGCCTCAGCCTCAGCCTGCCTCAGCCTCAGCCTGCCTCAGCCTCAGCCTCAGCCTGCCTAAGCGTGCCTCAGCCTCAGCCTCAGCCTGCCTCGGCCTCAGCCTGCCTCGGCCTCAGCCTGCCTCAGCTCGGGCATTCAAAATATGGCACAGGACTGGTGTTCTGGGAACACGAAGATCACGAGGTGGCCCACAGTTGGCTCCGGGCATTCAAAATGTGGCCTGGGAATGGTGTTCTGGGAACACGAAGATCACGAAGTGGCCTACAGTTGGTTCCGGGCATTCAAAATATGGCACAAGACTGGTGTTCTGGGAACGAAGAACACGAAGTGGCCGGCAGTTGGCTCCGGGCATTCAAAATGTGGCCTGGGAATGGTGTTCTGGGGAGACGAAAAACACGAAGTGGCCTACAGCTGGCTCCGGGTATTCAAAATGTGGCCTGGGAATGGTGTTCTGGGAACAGAATCTGCCGGAATACATAAGAAACTATAAGAATCTATAGGGGTCCTGGGGAGTCCCCGGATTCCCCGGATTCTCCCGGCATCCGCCCAGACCCCCCTGGGGAGTCAAGATGTTATCTTTTGACCACACTAGAACCCTATCAGTCTTCGCTGTTAGGTAACTAAAAGCTGCACAGTGCCTCGGGAGACCGTCGTTGTAGCATTTGTTTCCAACGAGGTGCGATGGGGGAACTGCACACTTTGAGAGAAAGGGAGGAGGCGAACGAGGGGAGGGAGAAGGACGGGGGGGGGGCGGGGCAATCAAGAGAACAACAACGCTATTTTGCAGAATGTTGAGCTACAGCCTCACGCCATTCTGAAGAATTTTGCACAGCGTCTGTAATGTGTCTGGGTCATCGTGCGTGCTGCCACCCCGCATCGTCCGAAGAAAGGCACAGCTAAATTGATTAGCACATTCTCTCTCAAAACCGGCCGATGCTGGTGGAGGTGCTTCTACTTTGGAGCGACCGTGACCAGCCACCGCGGGTGGCGCGGCAGGGGGCTGAGGGGCCCTTATGGCAATGGAGCGAAGCTTCCGCGCTTTCAGCGGAAGTTCAAGCTCAAGCTGAAAAATTAAATGGAGCGAAGCTTCTTCGCATGCAGCTGAACTTAAAATAAATTGGATAGAAAATTGGAGCAACGCAGCGACGCTCACCGCGACCAGCAGAACATCAAACTCAAGTTAATGTGAAAGGGAGCCCCAGGTTACTGTGGGCCTGCAGAAGGTGGGTCTCCTTTCTAAATCGAGCCCATCTGAACCTGCTCTAAAGCTGGGCCGCCTTGGGCAGCCGTCGTCCAAATAGCACGGGCGGGTCAGCACTCCGCGGGCGAACTTGACCCTGGGGCTTTCACGGGCACGAACTCGTCATCCTGACCCTCGCCCGCGTCGGCCGGCGCCTGGACCGCGCCCCAGCGCCTGAGCGCCACCGCGGCCACTCCGAGCACAGCGACAGCAGCTGCTCCGAGGGCCGCGAGGGCGGCCGCTGCCGCGGCCCTCGAGGACCCCCGCCCGGCCGACGCTCGGCCGTCCGTCAGGAGCCTCGCACCGCCCCCCTCCGCCCTGGCCTCGCGCGCCGCGCACGAGCTGCACTGGTGCGCAATCGAATTCTGGACCGCGCTGCAGCTGACACCCGCGCTGGGGTCCGAGCTGCGGCCGTCATTGCAGAGAGCCACGAGGGCCTCGCTGGAAGAGCTCGCAGCACGATGTGCCGCCGCGCGCTGCTCGGAAGTCGCTCTCCGTGCACTCGATCCCGCAGCCACTGGCCCGGGGCTCGCACGCCGCCGCCGCCGCGGGACCCGCGACGGAGCCGGCGAGGGAGCCGGGGCCCACGGAGGCCGCGACGGAGCCGGCGTTCGAGCCGGGGCACGGGGTCTGAACGGCGCCGTCGCCCTCGCACTTGCAGAAGTGTTGCGCACTTCCTCCGGCGTCTCGATCACATGGTTTTGTCATATACTGTACGGCCTCAAAGCAAGCACCGTCTGACATTATCATGGGAGCAAGTGGGTTGGATGAAGTCCATGAGTCACTGTCGACGCAGATCAACCTGGCCACATCTTTCTGGGATATTGACTCCGTGTCCCAGTCTTGGTCGACACAAGTCAAAGACGCTTCTTCACAAGCTTGTGTGCACGTTGCGCCCAGATCGGCAAGTAATCACACCTCCGTGGCCCTGGCGAGGGCCAGCGCGGCGACTGCGACGATCTTCGCAGCAGGACCCGTGTGCCTGACGTTGGTGGAGCCCTGGAGCACGATACCGCTCGGTGCGGTCTCGAAAGCGCGTGAGAGCCAAAAGTGTTTGGCCCAGAATTGCTTGGGCCCAGAATTCGAAGCTGCCGGCTCCCCCAGCAGCCCTCGAAAGTGGCGACGCTTTCACACTTCGCGGGCCCCCCCCAGGGATGGCGAGGTCCCGTTTGGGTGTGCGTGTTGCCCCACTGTGCCGGCTCCCCCAGCAGCCCTCGAAAGTGGCGACACTTTCACACTTCGCGGGCCCCCCCCCCAGGTGTGCGTGTTGCCCCACTGCGCTGGCTCCCCCAGCAGCCCTCGAAAGTGGCGACAATTTCACACTTCGCGGGCCCCCCCCCCAGGGATGGCGAGGTCCCGTTTGGGTGTGCGTGTTGCCCAACTGCCGTGGCTCCCCCAGCAGCCCCCCGAAAGTGGCGACAGCTTCACACTTCGCAGCCCCCAAGAGGGAGATGCGAGAGGAGAGAGCCGAAAGGAGAGCGGGGGGGGGGGAGGCGAGGAGAGGAGGGAGAAGGCGGAGACCCCGCTGCCCCGCTCAAAACACGAGATTCCCCCACCGAGGGGAGGGCCGGGAAGCAGGCGCCGGTGGGCCGCGGAGCGGGCCGCGGGGTGGGCCGCGGGGCCGATCGCGGGCGGGCCGATCGCGGGCGTGCCGCGAGGGGGCACAAGAAAGGGCGACGGCCCGCACAAGCGGGGCCCCTCGTCGGCCACGCGCCCCGGGGCAGCGCGAGGCCGCTCGGCCCGCCCGCCGCTCGGAGGCAAGCCACGGGGGGGGGAGGTGAGAGGGGGCGGGCTTGCTCGGAGGGCTCGGGCAGCTCCACGGGCCCTCGGGCAGCTCCACGGGCCCTCCCCGAGGGCGCGGGAGGCGTCTCTCGGAGGGCGCGGGGGGGCTCTGGGAGGCCCCGCCGCACTCCGAGAAGGCCCTCGCCTCGTCTCTCTCTCTCTCTCTCTCTCTCTCTCTCGGGGATGGACAGACCCCCCTTTAGTAAAACGTGGTTTAGTGAAAACGACTTCGGGCCCAAACCTGGCGGGCGCAAGCCTGGAAAATAACGGCCACGGCGCCCTCTCGACAACCGAAAACGGACAATTCACTAATCGACGTGTCACTGTCGGGGGGTCTGTCCACCCCCGACTCTCTTCCCCCCATGGGGCGCGTCGCCGAGGTCTGCAGAGCCGAGGTCCCTTTGCGCGCGCACCGTGCGCCCCGCCGCCAAGGCGTGCCCTGTGTTCGGTCCGGCAGCGCCGTCATCTTGGACGATGGCGTGGGCCAGGGCGCCCCGGAGAGTGGGCCCAGGCGGTCCGACACTCCTCCTCAGATCGCGGATCCGATGTCGAAGCAATCGGGCCCTGTGCTCCACGCAGCACTTCTGTGCCAGAAGCATCAACGTCTTGGTCGCATTCACAACAGGTGCTCTCAAATAGCTGGACGGTATTCGCGGCAACCTCGTGCGCGAAGCTCCTATAGTGCCCAGCTCATTTCACTTGGAGGGAGGAGGAGCAGCAGCAGCAGCAGGACGCGGAGAAGTTGAAGGAGGAGCAGAGCTAAGGAGGAGACGCTGCACCAAAAAAAAACAGCGATGGGTCTCGGAAGGCCCCGATAGGATACACGGCGCCGTCTTTCAAAACACGAAGTAGGTTCTCGCAGGTTGCATACTATAGTGCTCGTCCTGTAGCGCATGGCACTTCGCTGGCGCACAGAACACCCAGCTCTAACAACGCACAAAACCCTTGCACACTACCGCACACGCACGCAAAGCACAAGCCTTGCCCCTGTCCGCGTCTGCGAGGGTTCTGAGTGTCGTACGCGTGCCTATTCAGCGTGCAATCCCACCAGAACAGGCGCCGACGAACTGGACGGCAGGAGCAGACAGGAAAACGCAGGAAGAAGCTTCGGAGGACGATCCTGAAGAGGAGGGGGAGAGGTAGGAAGAGGGACGGAAGAGGAGGAGGAGGAAGAGGAGGACCAGAAGGCAGGAGGAGGGACGAGGAGAAGCAGGAGGAACACTGGAAGAGGAGCAGCAAGCAGGAAGGCAGGAGTCCGCCACCGTGCCTTGTGCACGTTGATGCGTGGAAGAGAGCCGAGGGCTGCATGGTAGGGCTCCTGTATTCTCACAAGAGGCACCGCCCTCCCGCAACCAGCATCTCCCCGCATGCATCGCCCGAGGCCACGATCCCTTGTAAAAAATCATGGGTCCACGCTCCCGAGGACACGATCCCTCGTTAAAACGATGGATCGGGGTCCAGAGCTTCCAAGACGGCTCATGCAGGCAACCAAGGACACCAAGATAGCCCAAGATGCATCGACGATGGCCCAAGATGGCCCGCCCCAAGACGGCCCAACATGGCCTCAATGCGGCCCATGATGCCTCCAAGAAGGCCCAGAAGGGTAACAAGAGGACCTCCAACAGAGCCCGAAAAAACCAAAAGCAGTGATTTCCCTTGGTGCTGCTGACTGATGTTCACATTCTCAAGACGGCCTGAGAAGCCCCCACGATGGCCCCAAGACGGTCCAAGAGGCCCCCAAGAGGGCCCAAAGACTGCCCAGGAGGCCCCAGGATGGTCCAAGAGGCATCCGAGACGGCCCCAAGACGGCCCAAGACGGCCTCCCGCGAGACCCACAACGGAAGGCCTTTCGATGGCCCAAGACGGTCCCACGACGGTCTCATGCGGCCACGATGCCTTCAAGACGGCTCATGAGGGCCCTAAGGGACCCCCAGACCTGCCTCACAGCCACAACTTGTGAAGACGAAAGATGTCACATGTGACAGTAGTCATCTTCCTCCTCCTCCTCCTCCTCCTCATCATCATCATCAGCAGCATCATCACCTATATCATCATAATCACTATCTTCTTCATCATCATCATCATCATCATCATCATCATCATCATCATCATCATCATCATCATCAGCAGCAGCAGCAGCAGCAGCATCATCATCATCATCATCATCATCATCATCATCATCATCATCACCATCACCATCACCATCACCATCACCATCACCATCACCATCATCATAATCATCATCATCATCATCATCATCATCATCATCATCATCACGATCAGCCTCCTCATCCCCATCCTCGGCATCATCATCATCAGCCTTAGCATAATCATCCTCATCATCGGTAGCATCAGCATCATCATGATCATCAGCAGCATTACCACCATCCGCATCATCATCATCAGCAGCAGCAGCATCAGCACCATCATCTTCACCCGCATCCCCCTCATCATTGCCATCATTTGATCCACCATCACCGTTCATCATCACCAAAACATAACCACCAGCATCGACAGCAAGAACAACTACAACAATCACAACAACAACAAGAACAACAGACATTTTAAGATTGATCGCTCTTATCTGCTCGCGCGCCATTCGACACGTATATCCAGAACCCTCGATACCCGCCCTACCCGTCTTCGACCGTACCCTTTTGGGGGGTATATCTTTCTTACCTGCAGCGTGTATTTCGCGCAGCCCGTGAAGCAAGGGAAGCGAGGACGGATGGAAGGGACACGGGGGAGGGAGGAGGATGGAGCACGAGAGAGACTAGGAGGAGGGGGGATCGGAGCAGAAAACACGTGGCAGGACCAGACGGGCAGATCGGGCGAGTAGACCCTACCAGGCGGGTCGGGAAGGACAGCCCAGGCGGCCACGTCAAGCAGGCGGGTTGCTGAAGCGTGCGTCCTGCATGAATCGCGAGGAAGTCTCGAGCGACAGTTCGATTCCCAAAAAAAATGCGAGGAAGTCCACAGCGAGAGCGTGATTTCTGAATGCCGAAGGCGCGACGTCTAAATGCATTGCAAAAAAAGCGCGTGATTCCTGAATAAATTGTGAGGAAGTCCCGCGCGAGAGAGCGATCTGGGAATAAATTGTGACGGCGTATCAGGCGGGAGCCGTTGTTGTTGTAGTTCGGGGCCCAACAACGCCGTTTGAGGAGGATGAGTTTCCCTCAAAGCCTTGGGAAGGGCACTCTATTTGAAAAACACATATGTTACCGGAAGGGGGATCCACAATAATATTGTTCATTGGTGGAAAAACAAGAACAACAACAGCAACAACGATCAGTTTTAGACTCTTCGCTCTTGTCTGCTCGCGTGCCATTCAATACGCACATCCCGAACCCTCGCAGCCCGCCCTCTTCGTTTTCAGTCGTATCCCAATATGGGTAGACCTGTCTTATCTGCAACGCGTATTTCGTGCAGCCCCTAAGGCAGGGGAAAAGAGAACGGATGGGAGAAAGGGACAAGGCGTAGGGAGGAGGACGGAGCACGAGAAAAAAATCAGGAGGGGGACTACGAGCAGAGAACACTTTTTACGTCGGCGGCCAGGCAGAAGGACTGCGCTGGCGGAGGGCTACCTAAACGGGGGTACCGTTGTAGCGACTTCTACCGCCATACAGGAGGAGGGGACACAGCCGAGGGAACGGCCGAAAGAGGGGGCGGGAGGGGAGCGAGGCCGCCCAGGGGGACGGGTCACGCCCCGAGCGCGTGGCGCGGCCGGCCCAGCCGGCAGGTCCGCGGCGGCTGCTGCACCACGGGGCCGGCAGCGGCGGGGCGCACTGCGGGGGCCGGGAATATCCCAGAGGGGCAAGGGTGAGAAATGGTCAGTGTCAACGCCTGGTGGCCGCACGTTCCACAGGGCGGGAGAGGGCGTGGTTTTCCAGCAGAAAGTTGGGGCGCCGGCGGCGGGCGGCAAGACCAAGCCCGGGGGACCGGCGCGGCGGCTGCGAGCAGCCAGTCAGCGCCATGGAGGCGCGTGGAGGGAGGGAGAGCAAGCGGGAGGGCAGGAGCAGAAAAGACGTGGCAGGACCAGACGGGCAGATCGGGCGAGTAGACCCTCACGGGCGGGTCGGGAAGGCGGGTCCAGGCGGCCAGGTCGAGCAGGCGGGTTGCTGAAGCGTGCGTCCTGCACGAATCGCGAGGAGGTCTCGAGCAATAGAGCGATTCCCACGCAAATCGTGAAAAATCAACAGCGAGAGCATGATTCCTGAGTGCCGAGGGCGCGGCGTCTGAATAAATTGCGAGGAAGTACCACACGAGAGCGCGACTGAGGAATTCGCCGGCCCAACGGGCCAGAGGCGTGCTAAGATCTCTCCTCCGGCCAACGTCACC